GCGGTTGAGATAGCCTGCGGGGTTTAATTCTGTTAATATTCGTATATCATCTGCAAAATATCAGTAGCGAAGGTAGCTTGAAAGGTATTTTCTAAATTTTTGAAGCTCGCGGGAGCTCTCGACTTCATTGTGTCATTTACACCATCAAAGGGTACCCTTTGGGAACCCCTACTTCCTTCCTGTCACGACGCTACAGTCAAGTTGTGATGACGTCGTAGGCGCAATTTTTTTGCCGCGTTTGTTCCCGCAGTATTTACTTCTTGAGACTGGTCTTGAGTACGTGCTGGTGGCGCACGCTTTGAATTTTCTCTTTAGCGACAGTGCAGTTCCGTTTCCTACTCGAAAGTAATTCTTGATGCAGACTGTGCGGGAGTGTTTCACAGGTTTGTCTCCCGACGAGGTCAAAAGCTGCACACGCTAGGTGGCAATAGCCGCACCCGCAGACTTCTCGTTTCTGAAGCTTTCTAAAACCAAAACTGATACTCGTGGTTAATGAAGGGCCTGTGAGTAATTATCTGTCACATGATGAGGCAAACGATGAGTCGTATCATTACTAAGAGGCCCCCGGCCACACATGGCAGCAGACAAACGTGAGGTCTAAGTTTTTGCGTCAGTAGTTTTATAAAGACACGCCACAATATTTGGGTTTGAATGCATGCAATGATCCTTAGGACGCCTTGGATATGTGCTGGGCTGCCCTTCAATGATGAAGAATCCAAGGATGCGCGTTTGTCATTCCTTGGCTAGGAATTCTCTTTGAGCTTCAGCTAGGTATGCTGGACCTGCTGCAACAGCTCCCACAGTGTCCATGTTTTAGTGTTAACAGCAGTTAGAAATAGCTCCAACTAACAGCTGCGAAGGAACACAACTGCGGAGAAAAATGAAGCATAACTTGTAGTCAAGTATTACATGACACGCATGTTTCGAGTATCAAGTTTGGACGTCTTAATTATCTTCATCGTCCGCTCGTGCCATGGAATTTCAAATTTGGCTTATATGAAGCTGGAAAGCAACCAAGTGTTTATTATGAGCGAAGTAAGTAGGCATATTCTTACGTTACACGCATGTCATGAATATCATGTTTGCACCAACCATATACCTTTGTCGTTCATTTCCGTCACGTAAAACCCAATTCGGTATATATGAAGCTACCGAAATGGCCGCGAGCTCATCATGAGCGTGGCATGTAGTTGTGTTCTTACATGACACGTATGCCATGATTATCATGCTTTCACCGGTAATACACCTTGACGTCACGTAATACAAAATTTTGTATATGTGAAGCTACCCAAACGGGCGCAAGGGCGCTATGAGCGTAGCATGTAGCCATGTGTTACATAGCACGCATATCAAGATTATCATGTTTGGACGTGTCATTTAGCTTCACTCTCTGTTCATCCCAAGGAATACCAACTTGGGTATATCTCAAGCTAGTGAAACGGCCGCGAGCTCATCAAAAGCGTGGAATGTAGTCATGTTGCTACATAGCTGACATATCAGCGATCAGATGACAACAAAAAATGGGTGGTCTGTCTGCTGCGCCAGCTGTCTTTCGTCTTAGTCAATGCTATACGCGTCAGTGTCAATATGCATTCTAAATACACACACCTCGTGTCATTTTTACGCAATATGTTTGTGATGGAGGTGTGGGGCACTTCCCTGTTATGATCACCGAGCTGCACAATGGCCCTGTCATCAGAGGTCCAACCATGTCACAGGTTGAACAACCATCGTCTTCACCATCTTCATTTCCGTGACTTCTACCTATGTCGTACTACCTGCTGCTCACGATCTCGGTGTATATTCCGGTCAGGATGGCGTTGACTTCGACAAATGGAGCAACTGTGTGCTTCCTCCTTTTGCTTTGATTAATATTTCGTACTGATTCTTGCGTTTCATTTGAAGTTCATTATTCCCTTATAATAAAATGCCTTCTTATTGCACGGTCAACATATTTGCACTGGCTACCATTTTATGCAATTACATTTCAGTAAGTGATCTCTGCATTTGCCCTAGTTGGTGCTGAATGCAATGTGAGGGTGCCCGCAAATTAGCAAATTTAGTTTCAGGAGTGTGCTGGCACAACGTATCGCGGTTGATATATTAGAATACCCTCAGGGCCCTACGGGCCCTGAGGGTATTCTAATAAATAAATAAATAAATAAACTGCTACGAACGAGTCAGAGCAAGCTATATGTGGGACCTGAGTTTTATGCTTGCCATTGTGCTTTTCTACCTCAAAGGCCCACCGCGGGTGTGGTTCGAGACGCACGAAGTGGAGATTACAAGCTGGGACTCCTTTAAAGAGAAGATGCGCTACCTCTTTGGCAACACCATTGGACGGCAGGTCACTGAGCGCAATCAGCTGAGGGCGCGTGTACAGATGTCAACAGAGTCGTACGTCATGTTCATTCACGACGTCATCGCCGTATGCCACCAGACTGACGAGCACATGCGTGAGTCTGAGAAAGTGACCCGTGTGCTGATTGACATCGCAGACGATGCGTTTGTTTTCTATTAAATAACAACGTTGCCACCATCGACACCATCGTTATAAAGTGTCGGTGGTTTGAAGAAGCCAAGAACCGCCGTATCAGTCAGTGATTCACCGGACTTCCAACAAGGCCGCAACGTCATCGTGTGAAGTCCCCCACGAGTCACCAACGAATGACAACGTCACGCGCATTATTTGTCGGAAAATTGACGCCACCTGTCCGGCTCCTCTTCAGCCCCCCGTTTTCTCAACGCTTGTTTCTGACCACCAACAGCCGTCCGGGCGTTCATACAAGCTGTCATAAGGCAGGAGTTTGCGAACTTCGGCCTTCCATCAGCGAGTCAATTGAATCACCCCGAATTCCCGCCTTAATCTTCAAGACACGCTCGCTGTTCACCTTCTACAATGCCCTTTCGCAACCCTTCGAAATGGTGAACGCCCGACTACCGGCCTCTATTTTTCCTGCCAGCCGCCAGGGCACATTTCTCTCTATTGCCGCCACCGTTGGTCAATCGAACGACGTCATGCCTCAACCCCTGCTTACATGCAGCTTACCACCCCTCGACGTTGAGCTGCTGCACCCTACAATTTTAGTTAGAAGGGCCAGAGTAAGGGCTAGTTGGTTGTACATGATTGGCACTGACGGCGCGCTAGAATTGAACACTAAATACACACTGTAGCACAAGTGTGACACACACGAGCGCTCGTGTCGTACTTGTGCTACAGTGTGTCTTTTATTTTTCAATTCTAGCTCATTGTGAGTGTCAACCATCGACACTTTCTATTCGTCATCATCTTACGAGCCTCCCAATGATGCCCCTTTGTTTGGTAGTCAGTATACTCCCGCTTTGTCCGAGAGAAGACAAAGCAATTTTCAGCTGCCTTTTATGATTTATTGTTAATTCCGGGCCGCGTGTTGTGCTATAACATTTCGCTCGCGTGTTGTCGGGAGTCTTTACTACCGATCCGCTGTGCTTTGTGAGCATGCTCAAAAAGTGTTGCAGGGTCCCTTTAAATGACCGTTCTTCTCATACCTTCAGCCTTGATTTACCACTCTATGCTCAGTGCTCTGCAAAGTCCAGAAGCTACTTGGACCTAACCCCTGTCGTTCGCCTGCCACCTCGAGCCGTCACGTACATTTCTTTACCATCAGCCCCATCCCGTCCTTGACGATTATTACAGCGCTACACCGGTTACTGACGTTCGGCTGACGCGCAGTGTTACTGTGCTCCATAGCATCGCGACCGTAGTGGATAACTGTGTAGTCATTCCGCTCCTTAATTTTGGCTTCACCCCTTAAGTGTTGCCCTGCGAAATGTCTCTAGCCCAAGTAACTGCCATAACAGACGACAATGTCAGCGTTGTCGCTGTATCTGCTCCTGATAAAAGCATAATCTCACGGTCACCCAGCCCGGATGACGCTAATTTTCGGAACATGATTGAATCGGACCATTCGCCCTAACCAGGCCGACACTCTCTGCCAGGTTTTGAATTCATACAGGGACATTTTCGACATCCACGTTCGTCTTTTGAGTCAGACTATGACTGTCACTCAGTGAATCAACACTGGTTATTCTGTGACCATTCATCTATGACCGTACCGCATGTCAGCGTCTCAGCGAGAAGTAATTAAAAAATAAGTGGACATAATGCTTACGAAAAACATATTCAAATCAATATTGAGCCCTTGGACATGTCCTGTGGTATTAGTAAGCAAGAAAGATGGCTCAAGGCATTTTTGCATTGATTATCGCCACCTCAACAAAATTACAAAAAAAAAGACGTTTACCCTCTACCACACATTTACACGGCCCTCGATTGCCTCCATGGCACCACCTTCTTTTCGTGAAGCGTGGAAACTTGAGCAAGGTGGAAGGAGATAACTGAATTAAGGAACAGCGCAACCTAGAAGTAGATACTGCGTAACTACATCTAGGTTGCGCTGATCCTACATTCACTTCTTTTCATCTATCGATCTCTAATCTGGCTACTGAAAAATTGCTGTAGATGACTGGTATGGAAAGAAAACCGCCTCTATTACGGCTAGTGCTCTTTACCATTTCAAGGTCATGCCCTTAAACGGGGCAATAAACTGGGCAATGACCGTGTAACGGTGTAGGCAAGTCGACTATTTTCAAAGTCTGAACACAATTTCTCTATAAGTAAACTATAATGTCTTAGTATACTTTTGTCTGGTAGGTTTCGAAATTCTTTTCTTACCTGTAGGGCGGCCCTTTCCATGTCATCACAGATCATGACGCGCGATGCTGGCTTTCTTCTCTGAAAAGCCCCACCGGGCAACTTGGCCGTTGCCCGTTACGCCTACAGGAATATCCCTAAACGGTTGCTTACAAGTCTGAACGCCGATTGATTTTCCCGCTACCCTGTTGATCAGCCGACTAATCAGTCATCCAGCCTGGCTAGCCTTAGCTTCATGTCTATGTGTCGGTTTCTTTAGGTTGGTAATGAACAATGTCGTGATGTTTCATTACTACAGCTCACTGACCGTCTCGAATCTGCCCTGAACGACGTGTTGCTCACGTACGCGCCTTCCTGAGTGGCACGCTGTATCATCGTAGCCTCCAGCCAGATGGCCCTGAGCTTTTTCCCGTCGTGTCGAATCATTTGCGTTAAACTGTGCTGCATGAGCTTCACGATGAACCAACTGCTGGCCATCTTTGTGTATCTCGCACGTACGACCGTGTTCGTCACCGCTTCCTAAGCCTGTTTCACATGCGAGCGACCGAGCGGCGGTGGTTGCGGTGATGAGCGGCGGAAGGACGCGCTGACGCGCGTTCGTTTCACATGCGCCGCTGCTACCGCTGCTGTTGCGCGACGCCCGCCGCTCTGGAGAGCAGTGTTGTCCGCTATCTAAAAGCCGCACTCTCCTCGAAGTGTCCTTCCTTTCGCCACCGTGTGCTGCTAGGTTCATCATCAATAGCCGCTCGACTTTTACGCATCTGTACACTGATTGAACTAAGTGTAACATGAACCCTATAACAAATAAGCAACGTTTGCAGTTGCTTTCTTGTTTTTTTTTTGCTTTTTACGTTTGCTTTTTTGCGCGCTCATATAACTGACCTTGGAGAAGCAAATAAAAGAACTTGCTGGTATGGTTATATTAGACAGCTGTTCCAGCTAGGTGAATGCTTAAGAACTGCAAGCGTGTTTTGCGCAGCCCTTCTCATGTTTCTCCGATTCATTGCTCTTGCTTTCAGCTATTTACCTTTGGGAATCCGAACGAGGTTTCTGTCAGCCCCATACCTGTTCGCTCGAGTAAAAATAAAATTTTAGATAAAAGCTTTCAGTGGTAAGCTTCGGCCGTGCTTGTGGTCACCCTGTGGCATATGCAAACACACCCTTTATCAGGATTTTCCGTATGGTGTACATTTCTTCCGGTGCCCGAATTTGCATGCTTCCACCATAAATAGTAAGCTTAGGTTTTTCAATGATGCAGTAAAGCACCCCAGGAAGAGTTTCACCAACGGCAGGTAGCATGGTATACGTGAGACGCTCGTTTTTCCGGTTCTTTGGCTGCTGTATATACACTTGTGCGTGGCCCAGGTCAAGAACTACGCAGCGAGTCTTGCTTTAGCGGAAATGTGTGTTCATAAATGATGTGGTGGTGAGCAAGAAAGCCGAAGTATCACATCATTTCACGCAACAAACTTTTTGCTTCGTGCCCCCTCTTTGTTGAGTGACATCGCGAAATTCCTTTTAGGGACCTCTGTGGAATGCTACTTCTCAAGTCGACTGCCGTAGCACCCACCCTTGCTCTCTCGTTCGTATGAACCCTTTCTTCTATGAACCGTCACCAAAATTCATCGTTGCTTGAACCAGCAACATTTGCTGCGACACAGAAGTATGGCGTGTCATGTGGTTCCTCTACGTGGGAGTAACATTCTATGAAAATGCAAAAGGAAAGTAGTACTAATAATGTTCAAATAAAAAAGGTACTGCACACGATTGTCACTCCGGTGGAAGCATCGCCGAGAGCAACAAAATAAAAACAGTTCCACATCAACATCACCAGTGAACATGGCCAGTTCAAGCGACCCCTTTTACTTTACAAAACCGTGATAATTCTTAAGGAGCTCGGCTATTTTTTCCCAAAGATTGCTCTTGCAATGCTTCTCGCGAAAATCCTCCATTTGATGTTCCAAAAAAGAGGTCGTTTCACAACATCTGCAATTAGCAACTTGTTGAAAGCAGCGCGAGATATTTGTGAGCCGGGAGAGGACAGATGTCGCCTGCTACTCAGTCGGGGCGAGTTCTGTGAAGCGAGTTCCCCGCAGCGCGCGCGTTCACTCTTCGACTCGACCCCTGGCATCACATGCGAAACGACGTCACTAGTCGCTCTGCCGCTTCTGCTGTGAGCGAATTTTCCCAACTTGTGCGAATTTCACTAAAGTGAACAGTAGTCGCAATAGAAATCTCTTTTGGCCTCGCGCGGCGGCTTACGCTCCGTTCTTGGAGCAAAATCACTCGCATGTTTAACAAATTTTACGGCGCAGTCTCGACAGGTTTGTTCGCCATCACGTGTCCTCCTGCGATAAATGCCAACATAGGAAACAACCTACAGCGCCCCCCGCTGCACTTCTTCAACCAATATCCAGCTCAACCAAACCTTTCTTCCGTGTTGGTATAGATATTCTCGGTCCTTTTCCTAAGTCGAATTCGGGCAACAAGTGGGTAGGCGTTGCTACAGATTATGCGTCTTTGTATGCCATCACTCGAGCACTTCCCTACAGCTTCGCGCTACTGACGTTGTGGACTTTTTGCTCTACGATATCATCCTACACCGTGGCGCTCCTCACCAATTGCCACGGATAGCAGCCGCGCATTTTCTTTCTGAGTAATTGACGATCCTTTGCGCTCTTCCTCGGCGCAGCACAAGTTAACCACTTCCTATCTTTCCCAAACAAATGCCCCTGCCGAACGCCTCAATTTCCCCTCACGGACATGTTCGCGGAGTATGTGTCCTCCGACAAACCTGACTGGGACCTGGCGTTACCTCACGTGACCTTCTCGTACAATTCATTGCGCCAAGACACCACTGGTTATTCACCCTTTTATTTGCTCGATGGTCGTGACTCGACAATACCAGTCAAAACCCTATTCCAGCCACTACAACATTGTCCACTGAATATGCACGTGACGCTATTGCTCGTGCCGACCCCGCACGTAAGACTTGCGGCTTCGCAAGCCACCCAGAAAGTCAACCACGACAGTCGGCATGTCGACATTTGCTTCTCATCCGGTTCTATCGTTGTCCTGTGGTGCCCAGTTCTTCAATTTGGCTTATCAGAGCAATTTTTGTCTCGGCACAAGGGTCCTTACTACATCGTGCCCCAGTCAACCGACGTCACTCATCAGATCATTCCGGCATCATTCTTTGCCTGCAATCACACCCAGTGATGTCGTGCATGTCAGCAGGCTAAATGCCTACCGCCTACTTTCTGAATACCGTGTACTTAATAATGTGCACCGAGACGGCGCTTTTACCACTGAGGGGTAATGCTACGTAGCTGACATATCAGCGATCAGAGGACGACAACGAGAAATGGGTGGTCTGCACGTGTAATTTATTTTCGTCCATTCACATCACGGAACACGAACTTTGGTATAAGCTGGAGAAACGGCCGCGAGCGCATCATGTTCATACATTATACGCATGGCATAATTACCACGGTTGCAGCAGTCATATACCTTCACCACTCATTCACGTCAAGTTACATCAATTTTGGTGTAACGCTCAATATTCACCAGCACTCGTGTAGACGCTGGTGCGCCTCAACACTTCTTTGTTGATCGGCGGCCAACGCTTTGTTCACCGCTATCAGTGTTCAGGTATTGCTGTACTCTGAACTTCAGTTTCCTGGCCACAAGTTTAACAGAATATACAGCTTCATCCATGCATCGAGTCTGCTCCGTTAGTCCAAGTCTCGACTTTGTTACCATATCATCGAACATCAAAAACACAATTTCGTTTTCAATCATATGTAAATGAAAGCTGGCCTGACTTATTTTCGCTTCTGTCATCAAGTTTTCATATTGATTCTCTGCCATGTTTTTTTGCAGCTCAGTGCTTCAGCTTGCTGTTGTGTAATTTCATCAGTGTGTTCATAACCCTTTTTAACAGTGCTTGGAAGGTAGGGCTGTTTTGTGGCAGTTGACAGTCTCTATTCCTACCATCCCTTGATATGGAGGCTTCCGACAGACAAAAAAAATGATATAAAGTTTACATAAAATAATTAAAATACAGCGTACTTTCATTTTCTAAAAATATATCAGATGACATGAGCTCCAACATTGCTACAGTCTTGCCAGTAAGTGAATACCAAGGAATAGAAAGCAGACGCTTTTTTCGCAATGGGTAGAAATGTTACTTTTCATTTACTCGAACGCGCAAGAAGCAAAATTACATTCGTGCTCAATTTCGTATGGCCCCTCATGTCGATATTTGGTGGCCTCATGCAGTGCAAACACCACCCATTCGCGTTTATGTACTCACAATATATAATCTCTAGTTTATGTTCGAAGCTGTGGTCGTACCATTATACAATGGTCTCTCTAATTCAAAAGCACTCACAATGCCATCAGCCATTGTGTGTTTATTGGTTATAGATAAGTATGAGCAAGGCTAAAGCTCTGCAGATCTTGTTTCTATTGCTCAAAAAAGTGCGCATGCAATCACTGCAGCATTTCTTGCAGCATGGCACTGCTGTACACTTCAATACCAAACCACAGTGTTGTGTGAACGATACGAATATTATAAGCGCCATACGGCTCCGCAAACTCTGAACATCTGGCGATTTTTAGCGTGCACTGGCATCGCCAAGTACACGGTCCTTTACATTTATGCCTCTAAGTGCAACCGCTGTGGAAGGGATCTAACCCGTGGCCTCTACGTCAGCAGCCAAAAAACGTAGCCGCTGATGCACCATGGCGGACGTAAAATCTAGTATTTTTGTAATAAATACATCGTACCTGCATTGACAAATAACGTTCAATCGATCTCTCATGTTCGTTCCGATAAGCTTTACTTTGCAAAGTCAAACTTGAATGGTGATTGCGAAGTGCTCTCGTATGAATCTTTTCTCACACTTGTACTTTTCTTGCACTGATGACTGTTCGACTCATGTGATCGTGGGCTGTACTCTTTATGCTTGGCAGAGTAGACCATTGGTTCCTCTCGCATGCATCCCGAGACTAAGTGATACTTTTCATTGTATTCAACGAACTTAACAGGGCAATTCTCCTTCTGCAGCTCACTTTAATAATGTACTCCACTCTGGCGCTCCTGGACCCCAAGCGACTTTTGACGGCGTCCGAAGCTTTCTCTAGTGCCTACTTGCTGTCACTCATTGAGAACTTCTGTGCGTCTTTAACCCTGGCAATGAGAGCCATGAATGGGGTGAGTGTTTTGTTCACTCATCAAGACTTAAGTTAATTAACCGTTTCCCTTCAGGGTTTTTTTTATTTTGACCGGAGAATCATTTTGCGCATGATTTCTTTATGGCTAGTACCTCTTAGGACTACAAGCAAAAAATTCTAGCCTGTGGTGCAAATACTTATGAATTAATATTCATGGTGTAAACTAGGTCGCCAAGGCAGAGTGGTTCTGAAATAAAAAAATAGCTTCTGTGTGCTCGCTACTCAATAGTGTACACTGC